TTACACCAAATGCACAAAATAATGTTCTTTTTAGCAACATCATATGACCCCTTTAAAATATTTGTGCAGCCCAACCGGCATTGACCTCACTCTTCAAACATCTTTTGCGAACAATTTTTTTATTTGAAATAAAACGCTATTATAATGTATGTAGATTTATGACACAGTCTGTAGCATTATTAGTAGTATAAATCACTACGGAATTCCAGAGCTGTGCCGAGTGGTTTTACAGATAAGATAAAGCCTTTGTTCTCTTTATCATTCCTACAGTAAATTCCAGATCCTCATCAAGCAGTAAATATGACCCTGACATCCTCAAAGCGGAGATTGTTACAGCAAAAAGCCGGGTAAGAAGCTCTTCCACCTAACATGGAACCTTTGATTATTTGCTGTGAATGCTCTCTTGTTTATGTAAGACACAAACTGGGTGTTATCTTTGCGGCACTCCGTACTTCATGGATTTTGGATGTGATGATAAGAAGCAAGATTACGCCTAATGCCAAATGTAAGATGTCTTGTAATTATGCAAGTGTCTCATTCATTCACCTGCTCATTTTCTCTCTCTTACTGTCTTTTGTTCAGGTAAATAAGCTGAAGAGAGATTTGGCCTGTATGAGGCAAGAACTCCTTTATAAGGAGCAAGGCTTTGAGACATTGAAAGAGTAAGTGTAACCTGACCTCATTGCATGCATGATCACGTTCCAGACAACTGATCGCTTCCTTGTTTAAACTTATTCCAGTCTAAAACCAGCTTGTCTTTGTGCAAGACAAAAACATATCATCTTATCTCTTGGCATTTTATGAGTCCATTGTCACTTTATTGTGATGGAGCAATTTCACATTTGGTTTGTCTGTGGTTGTAAAAGTTGATATTTTTACTATTTTTCAGAACTTTATGCACCTCAGTGTGAAGCTATTCATATTTCATATTATTTTATATCATGGTTGATGGATTGTCTTAACAGCTAGTCGACTAGTCCAGTGATTATAAATTGGTGATTCTTAAATTTGTTTCTGAGGCCCTGTTTACATTAGTGCGTTTTAGTTTTAACTGGAAAACAATTCTGTTGACAGCATGGAAAAACAATACTATAATGCAAATAATAAAATTTCTACTTACTATATCTTTGGTTGTTTATGGCAAAGGCTGTCCATTTTGTAAAACTATTTTGGTTAATAAAAATCTCATATTTTGACTTTTGTGTCAGTTTGACCATAATGACTGTTACTCATAAGTGCACATTAGCAAACTTTCAGTGAAATTTTCACAGCAAAAAAAACTAATTGTCTTAACAGTGCAGCTATGTACAAAGCAGAGTTTGCATAGAGATCACTTTCAAACCAAGCTGCTTTCTGCTGGTCAATTTTCAGCATAACCAACTTGAAACTGAATCTCTGAATCTTTATTTGGAAATCATTCACCTCGCACAAAATTAAAAATGTTCAGTCCTTGTTTTTCCACCTGTAATTTCTCAAGATATTTTTCCCGCAGGGCTGTTTTAGGAAGCCGTTGACTTAAAGCTTTGGATTGGGCTCTTTTTGTATGTGAAAGGGCGTTGAGATGCTGGGCTGATTCCTGTTGACTGCCTCCCTTTCGTTCTCTTGCCCAGAGGAATGTGGACTAACCTGTTGCTCAGGTCTACACATGACTTACCGATGACTCGCTTTACATGCCCCCTTCTGCTAAACAGAGCCACCCCCCCTCTAGTGAAGCTTGTCATTCCAGGAAATCGCAAACAAAGCATTCAACAGAGATGTATACGAAAGTTTCACTGTTAATGCATTCTATGGGACCTCATGCCTCACTCATTTTGATCCTTGTATTATTTTCCTGTTCTTGATGGCTCATATTACTACTATGGTGGTTTGGTAGTAGCCATAGCTAATTGCTCTGGCTATCAGTTGGCTTCAAATATGGGGAAGCATTTTTGGACAGTTCTCAAACAGAGATACTTTGGTAGTCATGCATGTGATTGACAGCCAGTTTCAGCAGGAAGTATGTTAGTAGTTTGATTTGTTTTTGTGAATTGATTCATTCGTATGGTTTGTTTCAATGAACTGATTCTAGGGTTGAACAAATAATCAAAATAAAACTGGAATCAGGATTACGGCTTAGCGATTATGAAATATAAATTAAATATATGCACTGGGTGTTTCACAAAGTAAAACCCAGCGTTGTAGATCCTTTTCACCGTGGCACAAGTCCCCTGTAAAGAATCGCTGTGCCCAAGTAAAATATTATTGGTAAATCTTTGTATGTCAGTGAAGATTATGATGTATACCGACCTGAGAATAACTTTTTCTAATAATATTTCAGCAATCAAGTCCTGTGTTTTTTCAGCTGTTTAGAGCTAGTGATCTCAGATTTTCCAATGATCTAAACACTCAAACAGGTTTGCAAAAAGGTTTGAAATTGTTGGTGATTCAGTTTGTTTCATTAAGACAGTCCATTCAATAAAATAAAAATAGTATTGTAGTATTTTAAGTGCTTAATTCTTTATTTTACAATATAAAATTTATTTTGTTGTATGCTTTTATTTAGTAGTAATAATCATCATCATCATCATCATCATCGTTTTATTTTACAACACAAAAAAATGAGTCAGGTTCCAAATAAAGTGTCTCTCAGAGTTAAGTGAATTCTGAGTGTGATGTGAATGATTCAGCTGAATCATCAGAAGAAGCTTGTTCAAAAGAACAATTGGGTTGTTTCACAATTATTGCAAATTGACCTTTTTTGTTTTACTTTGTCTTTCATCAGAATTGATCACAAAGTGTCCAGTGCCTCACATGGCTACAAACTGCATGAAGCCCAGGCCATCCTGAAGGAAGTGAAGACCATTAAAGATGCCATCAGCTCTGGGGAGAAGGAGAAACAGGAGCTCATGCAGGTAAAAATGAAGCTTGATCTCTTTGAACCTTGATTCAGTTTTCAGTATATTCTATGAGCAGTCACACCCTGAATGAAGCGTTTAAACATCGCCTAGCTCACAAAAGGTCAAAATGTTACACCTTGACAATGTTCTGGGAACACATTCCTGCATTCTTTCGTCATTCGGACATTGTGGAGAAATTTTTGTCTCAGTTCCAGGTGTACATATAAGCGTAGACAGGCCAGTGATACTCTATAATGGCTAAGTACACACTAGAGAAGTAGGCAAACAATCTATCCAAATAAAAACCCCAGTGAAGTGCTCTACTCGCTGCATAATTATAGCCAATCTGATTGTCATAATAAGCTAATGTGTTTAAGCAGATAGGAGTGGTTGAGTAAGGTGGGGCTTTTCGCTGAAGACAACAATCACAAACACATACTTTTACTGACATTATTTGTCTTTTACCCCCACAAAAATGTGTAGAAATATTTGACATAATACAGTTGTGTATATGCAAATAGAACCAGGACACTCAAACTTTGTGAGACATAGTGCTTTTTCAAGCTTTTCACAGAGTTTCTATTCATATCTGACTTTTGTTGTTGACGTGTTTGGGGTCACAATATTACTGTTTTTACTGTATTTTTAATCAGATAAATACAGACTTGTTGAGCATAAGAAACAATTTAAAAACATCTTACTGACCTTATGACTGTTGAACATAATGTACATACTGTATGCATATACTACCATGCTATCTTTATCTGTAAACTTTTAACAGACTGTTTTTTTCATGGCATCACAACAGTCAATTCGTAAAATAATAAAAATAAACGCATTTTGAAACTTAAACTTTAAAAAACTTCAGACAAAAGTGTACAGCACATATACATAATGTCATGAGTTTTGATTCAAATTTATCCTCGAGAAGTAAAGGAGTATAGAATGCAACTCAATCCAAAATGTACACCACATCATGTTTTTATCAGTAATGAAACTGATAAAAACATGAGCGAGTTTATTATTTGGTTATAATAATAATTCATATAATGTGACAACAGGTGAATGTGAGGATCCGTTTGTTTGATCCGAGTGTTTGCACTAGCATTGCAGAGTGTGAAGTTTAATGTTTTGTTAACCTACTGCTCTTGAATGTAGGCCTAAAGAAAATATTTGGTTATGTACTCTTTGCGTCCTTACCGTAATGTACAAATCAGGTTTTACTGGAGGCTTAAATTTCGTCAAGTTTGCTTGTGTGTTGTTTATGTAATTGGACTCATTGCTTGTAGTAACGCAAATTCAAAGAAGCCAGTGAAGACAAAGTGTTTTGCCTCCCTTTGGCCTCCCATTTTGAGGCCCTATCAAAATTCAACCTAATTTTTTAAAATATGTATTATAGAGTTCCTAGTTTTTTTATATATAATTGCGAACACATACAAAAGTTTGGGATAGTCAGATTTTTAATGTTTTTGAAAGAAGTCTCATATGCTCGCCAAGGCTGCATTTATTTGAAAAAAAACAGTAATATTGTGAAGTATTATTAATGGACTCTTTTCAGAAGACTGTGATGACGCACCGTCATCAGCATCGTAAATCCTCTAAAGTTTTTTATAGTTTGATTTTTTTAAAAATCTATGTACATTTCAATCATGACAACTCTCGGAAGATTTAAGATGGAGATGGATATGACAATGTTAATGTATTTGTATTTAATACACAATGTATTTAATGTATACTCTCTGAATATCATCAGTTACATTAACAACCCGTCAGCCTGCGCCATCTAGAGTTTCATAACTGAACTGTATATTTATAACACTATACTTTGTAATTTGATGCAAAGGTGATATAATACAAAAAAAAAACTAGTTAACGCTAATGCGAGGGTGTTTCTAATGCAGCGTCTATGGGAGGGACAGTAAATTTGACATTGTTCTCTCTTCTGACTGCCGTTATCAGTCTCTCTCAATTTTTTTGTCCTTTTTTTGAAAGTTGTGAAAACACGTGGAATTTTTCTTTTGCTATAATAGCTTTCATATATTAAAAAAAAATTGTGTTTGCAAAGCTGAATTTTCAGTAGCCATTACTTTAGTCTTAAGTGTCACATAGTCCTTCAGAAATCATTCTGATAAGCTGATTTGATGCTCATTTCTTATCAATATTGAAAACAATGCTGCTTAATATTTTTGTAGAAACCTACAAAATGAATTGAAATGTATTTTATTGAAATATTTTTTTTTTTGTGGCAATAAAAGTATTAATTTCTTAAAAAACAAAAACCTACTGTCTGACCCCAAACTTCTGAATGGTATTGTATGTTTGGCAGATGGAGTCTTCCCAAATGTCACTGTAGTGTTTAAGCTTTCAGAGAGAAGCTTTTCTGTTCTCAGTGAGCCTAAGCTGACCTCATTTTTCATTGGGTATAATGCCTTCTTGTTTTTCCTTTTCTTTGTCGTCTTTTATTTATTTATTTATTTCCAAGTCTTTCCCCACACTGTTCCACGAGCATATGGAGAGGCAGGCGGTGCTAAATAATGCATGCCCCCCGCTGCAGCTGGCAGACTTCTTCAATCATGCGTGTGCTTGCCCGTTACATGCGCACTCATAGCTTTGTGTTGCTTTCTTGCAAATAAACTCTCGTCCCTGTAGTCTCACTGTCTCTCTTTGCTCATCACTTAATAATCACATGGGTAACTTCAGTTCTAACACAGGAGGTGTCAGACGACTGAATTATGCTTAAGCCCCTGTTGGCAGTTGTCATCTCAGGAATGTTTTGAATGTGCTATATGCAAACAATATCTGAGAGAGAACAGAAAATAGAGGTCAAAGATTTTCTGACCTCACCTAAAGGTGAACTGTTGCAAAAATGGCAATATCTGACATCTGATTATGGTATTTCCTTTAGAAACTGGCTGTGCTGAAGGATGGTTTCCAGTTAGATTATGGCTCTCAGTCTGACCTGTGGGCCAGCAATCCGTCCTTGGCCAACTCAAACCTCTCTCTGCCCCGCCTCTACTCAGACGCCGAGTCTCAAACAGACATACCTGCTGAGGTGAGAGACAGCCTTCAGTGCTGGGTTTTACATGGTTGTAAATGATGAATGACTGTGGTGTCTTTTAGTGGTTTCACAATGTGCAAGTCATTTGTTGGGTAAAATGTCTTTTATAATTTCAGAGATTTTTATTCTTTTTTAAAATTGTTGTTATTTTTTATTTAGTTTGTATCAAACTCAAATAAACTGGCTGAGAAGGTACGACTGAGCCTGAAATATGAGGAGGCAAAAAGAAGGTATGTGTTTTTCTTCTGAATTTCCTCCTATAAATTATTAGTTTTTATCTAGTGGTCAATCAAGTTTTTCAATCAGTGATGCCAGTGTTTGCAGAGCAGGAGGACTGATGGTCGATATAATGTGGGGGGAAAAAAGTATACCATATTGAAAATCTGGGATCCGCAATGTAATCTAAACTTGGAAATAAACTGAAAGTTTTAAAAAATGTAAAACAAAGAAATAATAAGGACATAAAAAATAAGCTTTTGCACAATATTTGAGTCACTTATCAAATAAGCAAGAGGGCAACATTCCAAATTCTAAGGAAGACGTCTCTTAAGTGCCTTTCCACTGCACACGACATTCGGACACGACTGTCGCATTTCTCCGCCTAGTGGCAGTCGCACAGAACTTTCAAACTGGTCATGCAGCGACCATTACCTCAGCTCATTCACCATGGTAAAATAAATAAGAGTGCATAATATGAATGCATCCTCACAAATCAAATGACCCCCAAAATAAAAACATAGTAGGTTTTATGGGGCTAATCAACGTAAATAATGATTGAATAATTATAAAATAATGATTTCTGCCATAATTATTCTAAAGCACCATTTTACAGAAATAGTGTTTAAATAATAATGTTAAAGTTAACAAAATATTGGTAATTCTAACCTTATGCTCATAGTTTTTAATAGAATACATCACAGTCGGGCGGTCGCATATGGTCTAGCCACAGAAGTTTAAATATTTGAACGCATCCGAAGCTCAAATCGGATCCGAATTTTCCGCATACGCATATGATCGGAAGTCCAAGCAGCTCCCACACTACTCTCCATTGGAAATGAATGACGTCCGGTGTGTCGCTTGTCGTTCGTCGGAGATAGTGGAAAGACCATCTTGGTTATGCTCACCAAGGCTGCATTTGATCAAAAATACAGCTCAAATCGGATCCGAATTTTCCGCATACGCATATGATCGGAAGTCCAAGCAGCTCCCACACTACTCTCCATTGGAAATGAATGACGTCCGGTGTGTCGCTTGTCGTTCGTCGGAGATAGTGGAAAGACCATCTTGGTTATGCTCACCAAGGCTGCATTTGATCAAAAATACAGTTAAAATAGTGAAAAGTTACTTGTACAAACAATTTATAATAACTGTTTTGTATTTTAATATATTCTGAAATGTAGTTTATTCCTGTGATGACAAAGCAGAATTTTCAGCAGCCATTACTGAAGCCTTCAGTGTTACTTGATCCTTCAGATATCATTCTAATATGCTGATTTGGTGCTCAAGAAACTTGAACTTTCTATTCATCATAGAATTATAAAAAAATGTATGATGGTTTCCACAAAAATTCTAAGCAGCAAAAACTGGTTTCAGCATTGATAATAATGACAATCAATAATTGAGCAGCATTCAGAACATTTTAATTTATATTAAATACAGTACTGTTTTACTGTATATTAAATTAAATAATGCAGCCTCAGTGAGCATAAGAGACTTCATTCAAGAACATCTTAATTATTCCAAAATTTTGACCGGTATATAAACACATATACACACACACACACACACATATATACTGTATGTATGTGTATATATATATATATATATATATACACACACACACATACATGTATACATATAAAACTGAATAGGATTTTGAAATCAACCAATTGCTATGTTTGTCTATGACAATAGTTTAATGCTTAACTTTCTTTACATTGCCTTATTCATTTTGCTGCCATCAGGATTGCAAATATTGAGGTCCAGATTGCCAAGCTGGATAGCGAGGCATGGCCAGGCCTTCTGGACCCGGAGAGAGATCGCCTGATCCTCATCAACGAGAAGGAAGAGCTGCTAAAGGAACTGCAGTATGTAACGCCATGCAAGCGCGCACCCTGCGAGGCAGAGAAGATCGAGTCTGAAAAGAAGCGACTCGAGAAGGACCTGCAAGCTGCACGGGACAACCAGAGCAAAGCACTGACCGAGAGGTAAGATGGATAACCGGGCCAGCAGAGTTCAATGTATTTGGTTCTGGTAGTATTTTTATTTTTTCAGTCATGTGACGGAACCATAGAATCAGAATGGGATGTTCTTGCAGGTCTTTATAAGGTTCCTACGATCTTTGAAGAAATTGATTTTCTTTTTTTCCATTTGTTCTTTGTTTTAAAGTATTTCAAATACCAAATAAACAAGTAAAATCATTTATCCAGCCATTGCAAATGATTGTAAAAGTCATGGGAGATTCTTGTAAATGTATTAGCCAGAAAGTGTGGGAACAAGGATCGCCCGTGGCAGAATTTAATACTACAGTCTTTTGGTTTTGATCTTTAACCACTAGGCTACACCATCCACTTAATATGCTACAGAAATAAAGGTCTGACCTAAAGTTTTTTTCCCTTTCCTTGACAGCATGTTAGAACAATTTACCTGAAGCTTAGATATCCGTGGACAATAAAGGTGTAGTTATTGTGGAAACACAACAGGGCACTCATCTGGGACACTACAGCTGTGCTCTCAACACATTGGTGTCAAGGAAAATCTACTAAATAATAATTAATCAAACCCAACTTTGAAAGCCTCTTTCAGAACTTAAAAATGTTCACTAAAAGCTTGGTGTGCAGAGACCACATTTGCATTATGCAAAACGAGCACCACAGCAGTAACTTTGTCCCTCATTTACTTTACTGCAGGCCCCATCCATTATAACTGCACAATTTGGTTTTGTAAATCTACAGCTAAAATGGCAGAAGTTGAACGTCTGTATGCAAACGATTCATAATCGTCTACTAGTTTACTGCTTGTGGTTTGTAGCGAGTCTTGCACTCTTAGCAGGCACCTGTGTTTTGAGATCAGGTTGCCTAGGTGAGAGAACCAATTAGGCTTTTTTTTTTGCCTGACTCACTATCTTTCATTCTCTCTCTTTCTGTTGGTCTTTTTCTTACTTGTTCTCTCTCAGTTATTTGAACAGGGTCCTTGTTCTCTACTCTAGATACTGTATCCTCGTTTAGCTTGGCGTTCAGCACTCTTCCTGTAACCTGAGCGGCACAAACGCTGGATCTAGGTTGAACACAATGTGTGCCTTCTTCAGCACTGCCATTTAATAACAAACCAACATCATTTTATTAGACCCACAGGAAGACTGTAGAGACATTGTATAATAATATTCAATTACTTAATACATATTATTTAATATAAAAAAAGACATGTTGATGGTCAAAAGAGCCCATAACATAGTCTCTTCAATATTGTCATATAGTTTTCAAATCATTGTCCATGTGAAAACTGTTAACTGCTTGAAAAGTAAGTGCCCACTTCTCTTGTTAAAAACACACTTGGTCTGTTCCAATTCCTAATCCCAATAATGAGCAATTGTCACAAAGATCTATCTGTTGCTTTGTTCAGGTTAAAGCTGCATTATAGAAGAAACAAACTAGTGAAGGAGCTGGAAGAGACTGTGAGGTTGGCATCTTCCCTTCATACCCAGCTGAAAAGGTATTCTCCAAACTTGACATTTAAATAAAATATACAATACAAATGACACTCATAATATTGACTACATCTTTAATTTTTCTGTCTGTTGGCTAATCAGGATGCGCCAATGTTAATTATTCTAAATATTAAATATTATTTATTCTACAAAAAAAAGTAACTTGTAAATGCAAGTAATTTATTGTGCAGTTTTGAATATCAGCACGAAGGAGAAGCTGTATGTCATAAGAACTTTTCACCACTATATATGATGTAATGACTTTGCAATAAGAATGCCCAAACTTATCCAAAGAATCAGAGTTTTGAAGTTATAAAACGATGCAACCGAATGCACTTGGTAATTTAGTAACAATAGTTTTGCATTTACTTTTTATTTTGACTAATGCCTAATTCATCTTCAGCATCTAGTTAAGGCACATCAAAGGCATGTTGCATGGAGGAACAGTCCCTTGTGTGTCTAATGAGCCTGCCATGCCTTAATTAGCATGTTTGCTTTAAAGCAGAATGCATTTGATGTTAAGACTTGAAATAGGGTAGAATGAGATGATAGGGGGGGAGAAAGATGCATGAACCGGAGCTGCTTTCTGAATAACTTCCCTGTTCTCCTTCTGTCCCCTCCCGCTGTCTCTTTCCATCTACGTCAAAATTCCAGTCTGTCAGCCAGCACGCTGTCATGTTCCTCAGGCAGCAGCCGTGGATCGTTGACTTCCAGCCGAGGATCCCTGGCCACCTCCAGCTTGGGCTCCACTTCCTCTCTCAGCTTCACAGACATCTACCTGGAGCAGCCCGAACTGGGCGACCCTGACTTCCAGAACAAACTGGACTCTATTTTGCAGGAGGGAAGCACCTCTGGCTACAGGCCCTCCAGCTCCATCACCACCATCCATGAGAACGAGGTCTCGTCCTCCTCCAGGCAAGTCGGCAGTGGGCCGGGGGTGGGCCAGAGAACCCAAGTACTGCGGCTGTCAGAGACACCTCACTCCATGAGCTCCCTGTCCCCACGTTCCTCGCTGTCTTCCCTCTCTCCTCCTTGCTCACCCCTTGTTACCGATGCTTCCTTCCTGTCGGGAGAGGCCTTCTCTGGTCCTGCCTCACAGTTGGATTTAGATCTGCAAACAAGGCTGATGGAACTACGGTTAAAAGAGGACCACCAACAGGGTGCAGTAGAGTCTTTGAAAGGTACCATGAACAAAACTGCTTTATAGCTTAACTCATTAGGCATTTACATGGACATTTGTATTACTAATAGATGCCTTTTAATTCTTGCCATGGTAAAGGTTATTGTTTATAGGTAAGTTAACTAAAGAATTAATCGACTGATTAGAAAATAATCTACAGATAAATCTTAAAATTTTCATTAGCTAAGCTGAAAAAACTGGGGAAAAAAACAATAGAGATCCGCAATCCAGAATTCCATCTGAAACTAGAGAAACCTTCTGAATGTCTAGTACAATAGGGTAGATTTACAGCTCACTCCCAACTAGCCCAGCAGGTGAACTCACTCGAGATCAGGAACCTAACACCCATCCAGAGTGACGTGGTGTCACATTTCTACTCACCCCTTTTCTGTGCCTGCAGATGCTGTTACGCAAACAAGGATGTCTGGGCCAGGATCGAAGAAGGCAGGAGTAACGTCAGCAGTGTCTGACGAATCAGTAGCAGGTGATAGTGGGGTATACGAGCCCTCAGAGAAAAGGTAGGCCTCTAGAGTTTTGTTATCAGTTACGTTTTATCACAGACCCTGATTTGGATAGTAAAATGCTGCTGTTCATTCCCACAGGTCGGGGCTTCCTGTTGAGCAACAACTGGGCTATGATGACGGGAGCTCAGCAAGCAGTGCTCAGATCAAACTCGGCCTGAAGTATGAAGCGAAAGACAAGAGGTTCACAGTGTTCGTAATGCAGCTCTCCAACTATAGCGCACTCTCCCTGCCAGCCAACCAGAACATGTGAGGATTGCGCTCTCTCAGCCAGCTTCATTTAAAGTTGATGGAGACATTCATTTTAATCGGCAGGATGTCATTTTGATGAAGCATCTCTGTTAGGGAAATGGGCTGGCTTTTACTAATGGAATTAACCCATTCAATTGTTGTCAAATATAAAATGTAATATAAAATGGAGAAATCGATTCACAGATGCTTTGTAATTCTTTCTCAAATGATTCTGGATCAGTCCATGAAAATAATTAAATGTGACTGAGAGTTAAAGGGATAGTTCACCCAAAAATGAAAATTCTGTCATCAATTACTCACCCTCGTGTCGTTCCAAACCTGTAAGACCTTCGGAACACAAATTAAGATATTTTTGATGAATTCCGAGAGCTCTCTGACCCTCCCATAGACAGCAAGGATCCTAACACAATCAAGGCTCAGAAACGTAGTAAGGACATCGTCAAAACAATCCATGTGACATCAGTGGTTCAACCGTAATTTTACGAAGCTATGAGAATACTTTTTGTGTATGACTTGCCCTGTGCCCATCTCTCACAAAGCCAACTCTGATTGGAGTTTCTGTTGGATTTGCTCTATTGCAGATATGTCCGTGTGGTGGTACTGCCGTGCTCAGAGCCCATTCGCTGCCTGTTCCGCACCCACGGGGCTCTGCCGCAGGAACCCTTAGAGTTTAAGGAAGCGTTTAGCCTGCAGTTGTCCTCCGTTGCTCTCAGACAGAAGACTCTACGCATTGATGTCTGTAGCACCAGCAAGGCTGGTCGAGAGGACTGTCTAGTGAGTGTCTGATTTGACAAAATAGAGTGATGATGCCTAAATACAGTCATATAATGGTATGTGAATATAGGCCTGGGTTATTCAGTTCTCGTCTTTTTTCTCTTGAAAGGCTGGTGCTCACACACACACACACACACACACACACACACACACACACACACAATCCTCAACTCATTTTACCTCATCATAGCCAAATGCCTTTCTAATATTTCTTGGAATCAGTCTTGCCAAACTGCTAAGCTTATTGAGGAACAAGGAGCCTTCATTAATATTATATTCGTTTCTTTCATCATTCAGATGAAGAAATGGATTCTTTCTTGCCCAAACGGTCCTTTCTGGTCTCTAATACTGTTGATGATCAAATTACATAGAATTAGTTGCTTCGCTTTTTATCAGCTGTTTCGAATTTACAAACAGCCTGTTCTGTTAAGATGGATTAAGGAAATGTATTTGCATTTTACGGTCACTTTCCACGAATAAGGTACAAAATAAGGCTTGTGCTCTCACGATTTGTGTGTTAGTTTCTCAAAATTAATATTTTGTTTGATTTGAATTGTTGGATGCAATGGAAAAGGTCAAGACCTCCGAGTTGGGACTGACCGAACTCACCATTTTAATATATATTTTAATACATTTCATTCTAATGCTTTTAAAACAAAAAATGGGACATGAATTTGCACCCTATTAAAGTACCCTAAAAAAGTGCCTCATTTACATTTAATCGCTTATCAGATGCAGTTTTTCCAAAAGAACTTACAGTTAGATAAAAAGGTCTAGTAAATGTCTGGTAAATTTCAGGAAAGCCATAATATAGTATTTTTTGTTTTGTTTTGTTTTAAATACATGATCTTCATCTCTTTATTTATTTGTAGGCTCCCAGCACCTCAGAGGGCACTGTTGCACGCCTAGAGAACGCTCCTCTGGAGGACTGGTATGTTACCTGCCACAACTTGTATAATAAGCTTTAATCCTATTTAGCACAGCTGTCAACTTAACAGTTTCATATCACATCCAGTATCCCACCCAGAATCCACACGAACAATTAACAAGCTCTTTGGATCTCATATTCCATCTCTTTCTTTTCCAATCCCTTTTTTTCCTATTGAATGACCTCCTTTCTGCTGTCTCGTGGGAAATCATCACAGCGTGATGGCACACGATGACTCACTTTTCCTAATGTTTGATCTGCTCTGCCAAAATTACATTAGTAACGTAAACAGGATGAACAACTAATCCAAGCAATACTGAGCGGCATTCTTCTCTCATGCCATTTTCTGGACTCTTTTGAGGTTGCTTCTCGGTAAATTAGCTCACCGTGCCACATGTTGATTGGCTGTAGGGCAGTCTCATGATAACCAAAACTGCACTATAAGACCTGATTGCTTCAGATGACGATTCAACAACAACCACCTGTCATAGAACTTAAAAACAAAAACAGGAATGTGGCATGGCTGCATTTTTCAAGAGCATTCCACCCTTACTCACATTTGCTTCTGAAAGGTTGCGGACTAGAGAAGTAAAAGTGTTGCTCTTTTAGGAACATTACGGTTTGACTCAACCATGTCACAGTAATAAATTTCAGTTTAATTTGGAGCACTGTGACTTTCAGTACCAATGGTCTGAATAATGTCAAACAAAAACATATATTAATTCATTTTTATATAAATTTCATGTGCATTTTTCAATGTGGATTGAAGTTTGTTTAACTCTGAATTTGCTGCATTGACCAAAAAAAGGTGCTTAGTTTGGAAGCGGTGCTTACACTTTACATTATCCTTATCCTTGCTCCTTAAAAGTTTTTTAAAAGTAAAAACTAGGGATGCTCTGATCAGGATTTTTGCAGCCGATACTGAGTACCGATTTCTTGTCATGGTGCTCGGCCGATACCGATGCCGTCCGATTCTGATGCTTCAAGATTTATATAGGTTTCATAGTCGTGCACGTGCCTGGCCCGAAGTTAACTTCCGGTCTGTGTTTGTTTATCAGTCTGGCTATGGCGCCGGCTACAAACGCAGTTAAAGTTAAGGTGATGAGTAGACTGAAGTTGGGCTCAGGTGGTTGTGCTGTGGGATGTGTTTCCCATACATTTATTTATTTGTGGTGCTCGCCACAATATCAAAACTGACGGATTTTCCAAAAGGCATAGTTGAATAAACATGAGCATGTACTGCACATTTAAAAATCAAAACGAGGCACGGGTGTTTTTATATCACTGTATTTCTGAAGGAAGACTATCTTTAGAAAATTTTCGATGTCATTTTCATTTCATCTTGCATGTTATATGTTATAGGCAGCGCTGCTTTGTGTACAGCCATTACTGGGGAAACCTCTGTTTCTCCCACTTTAAAGCACCTCCTGCTGGCAGAGAATGAATTTGCCTTTTCAGTAAGTCCGTCTGATTTAGGCAGCAAACATATTTTGCTTTTCCTATATCCACGGGTGGGGTAATAAAAATGCATTCTGATTATTTGCGGGTGGGTCGCGGGTAGATAAAATAAATAATAAATGATGCAAATATTAACTACATTTTTTTAAATAATTTTTTTTCATGAGGTAGACAATTTCGTGTGTGTGTGTTCGTTCGCCTGATTGGGAAGTTGCAGTGACAGAAACGGTGCCATTCCAGGTAAAGTTTAAAAGAAGTAAAGCCTGTGTTAATGCTATTGAGTAGGCTAATATGGCCAAAGAAGATATTTTGTTTTATAAATAAATGTTCATTTAAAAACAGCCCACGATCAGCGTATTATGTTTAAAATCATTAAATTATGTCCCCACGCATCATGTACGTCGTCACGCGTTGACGTCATCAAATTGTGATCGGTTCGTGAGATCGGCCAAGTGTAGTGAGTACCGATCGAGTCATAAAATGTGATTATCGGCCGATACCGATCTCCGATCTCCCGAATTAATGCATGGGAAAATTAAACATTTTGAGCCATAATAACCCTGGTGTCAAATGGTATATGTTATGTAATAGCCCCGCAGAGGCTTTGGAGGGTGATGTGTTTGTGGATGAAGAAGGTAGTGATGGTGAGGAGGATGAGGAGTTCTACCCCGATGACTGCCAGTGGGAACAGGAGGAAGAGCCAGTTAAACCTGGACCAACAGCAGTCATAACGGAAAAGGTGACATTGATGATTCATTTACAACTTTCTCATTGCTTTTATGCAAGTTTTGTGTACCTTTTCAGTGAAACTTTTTGACATCCTCTCTTTGCCTTATTAGGTGAATAAACAGACAAGTGTGGACGGTCTCCCGCATTCTGCTTCGGTCGTTCGGCCCAAGGAGCGGCGACATGATGTCCATCAGCAAAACCCTTTTATGCGAGGAAACACCATCATCCGGTCCAAGACATTTTCCCCTGGACCTCAGAGCCAGTATATATGCAGGGTAAGAACACACATACACACACACAAATATATGTACATACTGATAGTGGTATTATAGCTCAGTTTTTTTTACCAATACCCACAATCATCATGTCACCAGATCAACCGCAGCGACAGTGACAGCTCCACCCTGTCTAAGAAATCTCCCTTCGTCCGGAATGCCTCAGAGAGACGCAGTGTTCGAATGAAGAAGGTAACATAAAAATATTGACATTGACATCTACTCATTTGGGAAACAGATTGTACTATTTAAAATTTGCCATGAATTGCCATGCAAATATAAACCTTGTTTGTTCAGTTTGGTGTCTGATAGACCTCTCAGTCCTTTAATAGCTTAAAAAATGCTTTACATTCAGTTTGATCCTTCATGGCCTCTGCTAATCTTATGAAAACTCAATAAACACGCTTCAACCATCCTCCATGAAACAAATGTTTGGGGGCTCAAATATGAAAAACATGGGAGTGTCTGGGACCCCAATTATAAAAACTGTGTAGTTAATCTCAACTCCAAGTCAGGGTTAGAATCAAATTCCACTCAGGGATCCACTGAATTTTTCTTAGGAAACTGAATGCATTTCACCAACCCTAAAGCCAAACGTTTTCCTTAGAAAGGGGAGTTAAAGCTTTTTAGCAGAAGTTTAATATTTAATACCTACATTTCTGTACTGACCTGAGGTCAGTGTTAATGAAGCACAGTCTCAGCGTGAGGAAATGGGTTTGCTGAGCACCTTTACAGGCCCTTAAATAGTCTAGAAAGGTCAGGCTTGCTCTCACTGTGCCTTAGGAGACACATTACTTTGAGTCTATTAAAGACACTAAGATGTTGAAAGTTTGCATTGATTTGCTTAATGAGGTCAGTACAGAGAGTTTCAATGATTTATAGTACAGGCTTTAAAGTCTCCTTAGTTATTTAAAAATGAAAATCGCATGTCCCAGTCTACAAAGGTAAGGTAAATGGTGTTAATCAAATAGCTATTGTTTTGAGATGAATGATACTGAATAGTTTTAATTTATATGTGCCAATATAACAATACCAATACAGTGGCCAATGAATCTCTGGGAATGTCTAAGTTCAAAATCTAACCTAACCTGTAAATGAACAGAACGTTATAAGATTTTAAAGAAGAATTTTCATCACTGGTCACAGACGTTTGACTCCCCATATACAATACAGCAGTAAATAGCACAAGACACATACATGACCCAAAAGAATCACTGATCGAGTTTTCTCCCCCACACAGCCACAGATGCAGGTCAGAGGTCTGGACGGGCTCCTGCGCACCTCTCTGGATCTGGAGCTGGACTTGCAGGTCACTCGCACACGGCACAGCCGACTGAACGAGGAACTGCGTGTGCTGCGGGAGCTAAAGGAGCAGTTACAGAGCGCCCGGCAACAGGGCCAGCATGTCCTTCCCTCATGGGTGCAGGAGGATGAGCGCTTTCGTCTGCTGCTCAAACATACAGAGAGACAGGTGAGTCCCACTAGATTTCCAGAACTAAGTCCACAAATGGCCTGTCATCGGGCCCTCTTAAACAACATTCCTGCATCTGATTTTGTGTTGCCACTCTCTCTTTAGACCCATGAAGAGCAGCTACAGGAACAGAGGGTAGAGAAGATGATGCGAGCAGCAGCCAAGGATGTGCACAAGATTCGTGGACAGAGCCTCAAGGAGGTTCCTGGGGTCCAGTCCTTTAGGTGGGCGTCTGTTGCTACCCATCCAAACCACTGCTTTTGAACTGATCCTAAACATCGTCTTAAGCATAGGTTATTGGAGGAAGAAATAACTCTGTTCCTAAATCTGAGCTGTAATGATGTCTAATGGCTACATAGGCAGCTACCTTCTAAGTCAGCACCTTAAACTCAAATGGAAGCTCATAAATAACTGATTTGGAGTATTCTACATAGGTAGCAGATAGAGTTTTGAATTTGCTAATGACGCAATACTCTAATGGACCCCGTCACAGATTTGTGATGATGCGTTTCCACTGTTATTTAAAAAAAGAATGTACATTTATAATACTATAGTACTGTTGTATTACCTTGGCATTAAATTACAGAACACTAGTTAATGCTGCTGCATGGGTGTGTCTAATAAAATGGCTAAGGGAGAGATTGCAAATTTGACATCTCTTTCGCTTTTGATCACCAGAATCAATCTCTTGATATTTTTTTCCTTCTTTTGGAAAATCACAGAAACAATATTGTGCTTTTTTTTTTTTTGTTGTTTTGCGAATGGAAATGCAAAAATTAGATTTGTTGTCGTTTCCATTCACCACCATAGACTTCCCCAGCTATGATGATGACTTTGGCTTCCAAGAACTCCAGAAATGTGAAAAGGGTCCATTAGCGTAAAAACACGACATGCACAAATATTGGGCATTGGGCATTAGGCATTTATGATTTACTTAATAGGACTGCTTTATATATCCAGCTTATTTTCCAATGCAAACGTTTTCTGTGAATGTGCGAGACTTTTAGGGAAAGGACCTGAAGGAAAACAAAGTGCAGTCAACGGTAAAACTATTTACGCTACAAATCAGTGTTTTTGTAAATGCGATAATACATTAAAATAATATAGTAAACAATACTAGTTTGCTGTATAAAGCAGCATAACAAGCTTTGTACAGCTACAAAATAACTGGAAGCGAATGACACTGAAAGCCCTGCACATTCAATTAAAAAAAATTAATAGCCATCACATCTGGAGTGCATCTTTAAAATTCTTTCTGGGTAGGCAGCTCACTACGGTTCGGAACAGAGCTAATATTAAGTAATAACCCTTCCATTGTTTTTTTTTCATTCATTTCATTTCATTCATTTTCAAGCTGTACTTATTGTCTGCTGTAATCTCTCATAGAGAGAAGATGGCCTTCTTCACCAGGGCAAAGATAAACATTCCTGACCTACCAGCTGATGACGTGTAGAAGATATCCATCTTAACTGCTGTTTCCATGGAGACAAAACTGACATCTGGCGGTATTAGGAAGAATGAAGAACGGTGTGACAGGAAAATGTATGTTGGGCAGGAAAAATGTAATTTTAAAACACTGGGTTTTAACTCTCAAAACTGAAATTGTATAGAGCCGTGTTTTTTTGTTTGTTTGTTTTTTTAGATAGATTTATTTTTTAATTTCACCATGTTCTGTTACTAATAAGAGTATGTCCGTATCTGTACTAGGTATTTTACTGGTCATTCAAAAACACCAGTTCGTCTTTGAAACGAGCTCTGCTAATTGGGCAGAACTGCTTACTGTAACTCTTGAAGATGTGAATACAGATACTTTAGGGTACTACTTCTGTTCATAGCACAAGGGTTCAGGACAAAATGAATGGGCATAAATCCTGTTATTCCAGTCACGTCCCTCTAAAACAAGCACATCTGTCCACATTTATGTTCAACAGTTGTTGTTGTTTTTTTGCAAATATGTAAACGGTTACAGATGTTAGCAAGCATGAATCTAAAGCATGAGTTAATTAGACCGGTTAGTAGACTAAATTGATTGCTAACAGTTCTCCATGTTCGTTTTGTTAATTGCACATGCAAACAAGACACATGTTAGTGCAAATGTTCGTAAAATGATGTAGAAACTGCACTTAGTTCCACAAACTCTCAGGTAGAATATCAGATAGTTCATGCACTTTAATAGAAAAAAGGCATCGATATAGAGAATTAAGCAAAAAAGCACATTGTGAACGCTAAGATCGTACTATCCCATATACTAGCTCTTGTTGCATCTTTGGAAAACTTTAAGTGTCTTTTTAGGTTATATTAACTTTCCAGTCTAGTTCCTACAGTAGCATGTTCTAATAGTGTTTAATTTCTACTGGTTTGGATCTCTTCTAATCTAAAACCCCCCCTCACAACCGTCTACAGGTTTGCTCTAGACTACAAACTTGGCTTTGTATGTAACTAATAAACTACTGAACACAAACGGTAGCATCATTTCATTTACATCAAAGCCAGTATCTTAACAAAACTTATTTTAATTGCTACCTACCAGTACTAGAAGAGTCTTTGGTGTGTTGAATCTCAAAAAAATCTTATCATATTTCACTCCATAAACAAAAGAAATATAGGAAATTATATTTTGCATAAAATCAATAAAATGAATTGAAATGTAAGATTATTTTGATGAAAATCAAGCACATTTTGTCTAAGTTCTTAATACTGTAAGGTGAAGGAAAAACTCATTGCCGTTATGCATTACTGTAATGATAATAATTTTTTTCTCTCGTTACTATTTTTTTTATGATTTAAAATTAAGTACTATCATAATGTATAGCAAATTAGTTCTTTGTTGTTTTATACAATAATGAGAAAAATGCCTTTCAGTAGATTAGTACCTGAAAACAATCCAATCAAATCAAAATCCTTAATGGCCATAAAAAAGGTGTCATTTTATTTGTAATTCCTAATTGTTCGTCTTTTGAATTTGGAGAAAAATATGACCTGGATAGTTTTTGTGAGATTGAACCATTTAAGAACAGTGCGTATCATTGCTGCGGCAAGAAAACGTCAACACATCTAAGGCACTGAAAGCTGTGAAGGCACGCAGTTTATAATTCCCAGCTCTCCCTGTAAACACTTAATAATGTATTGCACGCCACTGCAGAGATCCGTTTCTGTAACATTTGGAGACTCCTCATATGGAGGGAGTCACTGGTGATTTGCATTATGTAAATGAGCACTCCATCCATGCTAATCTAAAATATTGATTTTCACTAAACTCTTCATCTACATGCAAAATGTTCAGTTAAATCCAATTTTTTGTAAGTATCTTGATAATAGATGACTATGAATATTACTACCATGTCATTAAAACCCCTTTTGAACAATAGCTTTGCATCACAGGTCAAGATGTTAGTCTGAATGTAGCACTTTAAAAAAAAAAAAAAAAAGCCCCAGTTGATGCGACCCTTTATTTGATACTGATTTACATTGTACATAATGTTGGCCTAATTTAACCAGTTATGAATGGTATTACCTGCCCAATTCCATGGATTTTGCTCACGTTTAAATGTTACGTGAAATCTCCAGTTGATCTACACCTTGTTAGGCTAAGATGCTCTTGACATCTTTGTTTTGCATTGTCTCAGTTCCCCTGCTGGCATGCCTTCCCATGTAGAGTTATGTTCTTAATGAGATCCTCCTGTGCTTCAGTATGTTTTTTTCCTAAAGGAAATATTGAATGTACTGTCCTTGGTTCAACCTCAGATCAACTACTATGTCATAGGAATTGTAGTAGCAATATTTCTACTCTCATTCTATTGCATAAATGTACCCGTATGGACTAAGCAGGCGATGATATGCTCCAAAATGATACCACAATGTTTGAAACTAGTGTGAAGTCTGGAATGGATGGTCCAGAAGCCCTCCTTCATCTGCAATGCACATATGCATATGGCCTAGTCTCTTGCTCCACCTAGTGGCAAACAGACAGTGAGTTGAACTTGTACTATAGCACTCTTGTTATGAAACCCTAATTTCTCCTCCATTGTGATTTTGCCTAAAATTGATTTAGGGGATGGAGATTGTACATTTATTTTGATGCCGCCGCATTATAAACGACATCTAAGACCCAACCGAAATGCTGTCCCAAAGCTTTTAGCCAAATATCTAATTCAAATAGAAGCATCATATAGCTTTCACTTTAAAGCCATTGTAAAGTGCTGTTTAACTTAGTTTATGAGAGTGCAAACATTTCTTTGACTTTTGTTTCTCTTCTTGAATGTGTTATTTCCGCAGATTAGACCCAGTTAAGACAGTACACTGCCAAACGTAGAGTACATCCCAGCGTAGTTTGTTAAGCTGCTGCGTGATGCACATTTTTCTCACATTGGCATTTTTAATCAAGGTACTTTTTTATTATTATTTTTACCCGAACTTTTCAGATTTACAGCTTTTATGAATTTACAGTTATTTGAATGTGAGAGAAACAATAGGTCCCCTTTAAAGTTGACCCCTTGAAACACTACAGTTGATCTCATTCTGAGAGTACTCGAATAATAGACAATGTCTAATGTTTTCACTGGTCGTACAGTATCTACCGTTCACAGTATGTGTTGATTAGGTGCTCTTAACTATCAATTTTGAGGTTCATAAGGACATAATATTTGGCTTTTTTATTTGGACGCTTGGGCCAATCATGCATAAATCATGTAATACTTGCTCAAAATAATCACAAAGAAATAAAAGAATGCTGTCAGTATCTGATGCTGGTAGTCATGAATGATTCATCTGTTTATTGTTCACAGTAGGACTTTTATTTCGAAAACTCCAGTGCATATATTTTTTTCAAAGAAATCTTGTATTAATGATGGAAAAAGAACCTGATCTGATCACAGAGATGGTTGGAGAAGTACAGCTTGTATTTATTGCACTTTTGTGATTTGGGTGTGCCGTCTTTCTTTTTCTTGTGAGACTTCTGAAAGCTGTGAATTTTATCATCGACACTGTACTTTCAACCAGAATTGTAAATATATCACCAGCACAATAGTATGTCAGTATCTGATGCTGGTAGTCATGAATGATTCATCTGTTTATTGTTCACAGTAGGACTTTTATTTCGAAAACTCCAGTGCATATATTTTTTTCAAAGAAATCTTGTATTAATGATGGAAAAAGAACCTGATCTGATCACAGAGATGGTTGGAGAAGTACAGCTTGTATTTATTGCACTTTTGTGATTTGGGTGTGCCGTCTTTCTTTTTCTTGTGAGACTACTGAAAGCTGTGAATTTTATCATCGACACTGTACTGTCAACCAGAATTGTAAATATATCACCAGCACAATAGTATGTTTTGTAGTTTCACAACAAATATAAAAAAATCCTTTCTTCTAATCTGTATGTTTTTTTGTGTTTGTATGTGTACTGTCACATTCCTAATAATAGAGTTACCTGTACAGAAATGTTTGAAGCCAAGATTTTCTTCTCATTCCAACTATTATGTGCAGTTACTTGCAGTAAAATATCAAAAAAAGGCAAAATATGTGCCTATCTATCTATCTATCTATCTATCTATCTATCATCTATCTAATAACACTAGGTTGTGTGTTGTTTCCCCGTTCTGCTCTACCAATGATTGAAAGGCTTTAGTTTTGGCGGGTGTTTTCCCACAATCCCGCAGGACCGGAAGCAGCGCGCTGTGTGTGTTTAGAGTCGCTGCTAGCTGTCCAGCTGCAGAGCGGCTTTACATCTACATATAACGAATATACTCGTGCCAGGTAACTAGTCATTCTGAAAGTTTGCGTTTTGATATTTGTGTAGTATCGTTTCATAGTCTCGCTGTAATACAAATGTTCTCTGTTAATGTGTTTGGAGACAGCAGAGAAACATGCTAACGTTTTAAAGCTAATATCATCCCCATCCAACAAATGTATGGTTAATTTACTTTTATATTGCACGACCGACTTCATATTTGAACAGTTAAGATGTTTAATCAAATTAGTTAATTGCCGTTTATATTGGAAATTCATTGGAAGATGCTTAGGTAGTCAATTATTAAGAGTTGTGAATATTAAACTTATATGGGTTAATATTCATGAACGTTTAGTTCATATTTATGGTTATTTTAGTATTTCCACGGCCATGAGGGTTACATTTGGAATACATGCTTTTATAAACTCAAATCTAAGCTAATGAAAGCGTTGTGGTTGTTAATCTAAAATTAATATTCAGCAGTATTTCATTAATATACACATGCTTTTGTCGTATTTCCACTATATAAGTGAATTAAAAATCCTTTCCCTGATAATAGACTCAAATTGAGTTTGCGAACATTGTCTATGTTATTAATATTCACCAGTCTTTCGTCAAACTCGTCAAAATGTATGTTCTTTTTAAATATGTCCATGCTTACAAGAGTTAAATCAGAATAAAAGCCATGGTATTTTTGATTCAAAGCTCATTCATCTAATTGCTCTTCCTGGCAGAGTTTCTTTTGCCTGTGAGAGCTTCAGAATCGCTGGGTTACTTGGTCAGTTCCTCAGCCTTCATCATCATCATCATCATGCCAGCCGCACTTGCAGATACCAGTCAGATTATCTGTGAGGTCTGGGCCAGCAATGTGGAGGAGGAGATGAGGAAGATACGACAGATCATTCAAAGTTACAACTACATTGCCATGGTGTGTGCGCCAATGTTAATGTTCCATTATGGTCTGCTATGGTCTAATGACATAAGAAATGTACTATAATAATTGTAAAGTGACCATTCAAACAGCGTTATGGGTCAAACAGCACATCTACACTGCCGGTCAAACATTTAGAATTATTATAGTACATTAATCAGAATAAAAGCCATGGTATTTTTGATTCAAAGCTCATTCATCTAATTGCTCTTCCTGGCAGAGTTTCTTTTGCCTGTGAGAGCTTCAGAATCGCTGGGTTACTTGGTCAGTTCCTCAGCCTTCATCATCATCATCATCATGCCAGCCGCACTTGCAGATACCAGTCAGATTATCTGTGAGGTCTGGGCCAGCAATGTGGAGGAGGAGATGAGGAAGATACGACAGATCATTCAAAGTTACAACTACATTGCCATGGTGTGTGCGCCAATGTTAATGTTCCATTATGGTCTGCTATGGTCTAATGACATAAGAAATGTCCTATAATAATTGTAAAGTGACCATTCAAACAGCGTTATGGGTCAAACAGCACATCTACACTGCCGGTCAAACATTTCGAATAATTACGTTTTTTTTTTTTTTTTATATATATTTTTGAAAGTAGTCTCTTATGCTTGCCAAGGCTGCGTTCATTTGATCAAAATACAGTAAAGAGAGTAATGGTGTGAAATATTTAAATTGACTGTTTTCTGTTTTTAATATATTTTAAAATGTAATTTATTCCAAGTTTTCAGTAGCCATTACTGCATACTTCAGTGTAACATGATCTTTCAAAAATCATTTTAACAAGATGTTTAAATATCAACAAGATGCTTAAATATTTAAATAAAAATTTCCGTGTTAAAGCTTTTGTGGAAATCATGATCATGAGTTTTTTGACATTAGTGACATTATAAATGCCTTTACTGTCACTTTTGATCAATTTAATGTGTCCTTGCAGAATAAAAGTTTTATTTTATTTTTTATTTTTTTAAACTTACCCCAGATCAGCATGGATGTTTTCTAAAGGATCATGTGACACTGAAGTAATCACAGGAATAAATGACTTTTAAAATTCATTAACATAGAAAATAATAATTTTTTCACAATATTACTGCTTTTACTGTATATTTTATATAAGTGATTCAACAAAAATATGAGCAAATTTAGCATATTTGTGCTTTGCACTGTCTGTTGATTTATACTTGATGGTTTGTTTGTTTTTTGTACGTCAGGACACTGAGTTTCCCGGTGTGGTGGTTCGTCCCATTGGAGAGTTCCGTAGTACTGTTGACTATCAGTACCAGCTCCTGAGGTGCAATGTGGACCTTTTAAAAATCATCCAGCTTGGCTTGACGTTTATGAATGAAGATGGAGACTACCCGCCTGGAACCACAACATGGCAGTTTAACTTCAAGTTCAATCTGACGTAGGTGTCCAGCATTACTTGCTTATCCTTTGCCTATGCCAGTATTTTTAGATTTAGCCTTAGCCAGTAATGATACTAGTAGTGATGGTGGGTGTTGTTTGGCCCCGTGTTTTGCAGAGAGGACATGTACTCCCAGGACTCCATAGATCTCCTTCAGAACTCTGGGCTACAGTTTAAAAAGCACGAGGAGGAGGGCATCGACACACTCTACTTCGCAGAGCTCCTCATGACATCAGGCCTTGTGCTTTGTGAAAATGTCAAGTGGCTCTCATTTCACAGGTAACAAATAGCACTTAAAAAAAAAAAAAAATCATTGCTGGGTCAAAGACTTCATACCCATTTTTTGTGCAGATCTATTAATTTATTAAACACGCAGTTCAATACATATAATGACTTTAATACGCCCCTTCTATGATGTTTTTAATTTCTAAATGTTGTTATTTTTGGGCTAGAACTGCCCTGATATGCTAATGAAGATAAAAACCTCATTATGAAATTGTAATAAAGTATATGTATTTCTTATTTCTTGACAATTGTTGTTTTTAATAAAAATCTCTCTCTGTTTGTTAATATTTAAAAACTTGCATATGCTAAATCGAAGTCATGTGGTGCACCAACTTGCAGAGAAAAAGAGAGGAAAATAATATATATGGGTCATTCTACAGAATTGGTCCAAAGTCAGAGTTGGAAATGTATTGGAAAAAAAGTATGTTTTTCAAAAAATGTGTATGTATGCAAAGTGTATACTATCCAAGGTACACATTTCTAGTAATTGTGCAGTTAATTCTCATATTGTATTTTCAGAAAGTTTTGGAATATTTGTCCTCTCCCCAAATTTGTCACTACTGAAAAACAGTAATAATAATTTAGTTAGAATGTTTATATTGATCTATTGAGATTTTGCTTCCATCTACATTGTAAATATATTGTTTTTTGCTATTTTATAAAAAAAAAATTCAAAGGTAAATCAATAAAAATTACCTTTATAACAATATTTCAAGTGTAATTTACGAGATTTGTTGTATTTTGAATTACATTTTTCTATGTAAAAGGCAAAAGGTTGATCATACTGATTTCAAAGTTAAGGATTCATTAGTCTGAATATACATTGAACCAAAAACTCATCATAACATCTTAGTTGATAATTCAGTATGCTTTATTTTTGACAAAACATCCCATGTTTCGTTAGTGACTGCACATTTTCGGTAGTGACAGTAATGCTTTTGTAGCGATCACATCACATTACAGAATTTCAACTTGCATACTAAAACATACTAAAATACAAAAAAATTGCATAACTGTGCTAAAATAGTTCCCCCAAATATGAGGATTGTGTTCCCTTTTGTCACTACCGAAACAATGATGACGTGTTTCGGTAGTGACAATTTTATGGGATAACACCAAAAAAAAACTACAGAAACTATATATAACTATAAAATATAAAATAATTAATTTTTTTGAACTTCTTTTTTTAAAAGAATAAAAAAAATACTTTTAAAAAAACAACAATGGAAAAAGTTGAAATTTAGGGGTTAGGTTTCTGGACAGCCCCCTCACAATTGAAAGTACCCAATAAATGATGATTTTATATCTATTAAGCTTACTAATATTTTAAATATTATTGTGGGTTTCAATAGATAATAGAAGAATCTTAGTAAACATCTAAGATTTGATTGAATACTTAAATGCTTTTTAAATGTGTTTTTTGGTTGTGGGACAGCAGTTTGCACCAATTCTGTAGAATGGCCCATATATATAATATATATATATATCACAGATCAGATATAACTGATATCACAGAGAAGACCCCCTGTTAGTCTCGCGTAGCCAGACCTTCAGACTGACGGCTGAAGGTCTGGAATCCATGGCAGCTTTCATTGGCCAAGGCCCGCCCATGAGGCCGTTTGACCGACATGCCAAACAACCAACCAGTTTGTTTCGTTCAGTGTCACGTTTCGGGGCGTCGAAATGTCGCCACAATAACAGACTGTGTAAAAGTGTAAAACTCGGACGTATTTTAAAGATTTTATGCCACGAACTTTAAATATTTCACATACTTTTGATTATCCAGCGTTTAGTTGATCCTGATAAGCGCTCGTCGTCACAGTTGTAAACACGACGGCTTTCTTTTTTCGTGAGGGGGTTTGGCGTCACGACATCTTTGTTTCCAGGCGGAACATTATAAAACGTGACACACACGTCTCCCGGAAATCCTGTATAATTCAACCAATCCGATGACGACTTCGAAACTCCTGAAGTGTTTCCACTGTTGTGTGCCATATGCATCAGACGTTCAGTCTGTGGGCTGAGACTAACCCCCTGTAGACTCATGGCAATGTTGAGCTTAATAAAGTCTATTAAAATATTACAGTGATTTTAATGATGTCAATTTAAAGGTGCCTTCATATTAGTGAAATTTTTGTCGAAATTTGTCATGCAAAAAGTCCATTGTCAACAGTGTAGTAATGTATGAAATGCTGCTGACGCGAAAGTCTTTCAAACTAGTAGAGTTGTAATTAAATTATTATCATTTTTTTTTTTTTACAGAAACAAACTAAAAATGAACGTTTTTGTTTAGTCATCAATCGAAAATAAAGTTTAGGTTGTAAAGTTGGACTCGGTATGATGTTCAGGGTGCCGTTTTCAAAGGTGATAAATCATTCAAAGTCAAGCTCTTTGGCTGCTAGCAACCTCTCAATATTTCGGTTGAACAATTTTTACAATTTTGGCATCATTTTTAGCCACAGGTAAGGGTCCACACTGCCGACATGTTTACCTGTTGTAGCTTATCCATCTTGCATGCACGAAATCGACACAGACAGTCAAAACATGTCATTGACCATTAAATATTTATGCCTTCAAACTATTTCGGCCAAAAACTGGTTTTGACAGTTGCTTTGGAAAATAAGTCGCTGCACATTTCAAATAAAATAAACATGACTTGTATTCCAGAAAATATGGTACATCTACTGTGTTCTAAATGTTTTTATGTACTTTCTCTGTTCTCACTAGTGGGTATGATTTTGGTTACCTGGTGAAGCTGCTCACAGATTCCCGGTTGCCAGAAGAGGAACATGAGTTCTTTCAGATCTTAAATCTTTTCTTCCCAGCCATTTATGACGTCAAATATCTTATGAAGAGCTGCAAAAACCTTAAGGTATGAAAAATACTCTAACCCGTGTTTAAATGTATAGATGTTACTCGTACTGTAAAAAAAAAAAAAAAATTTGCTGTGTTTAGGGTGGACTTCAGGAGGTTGCAGACCAGCTGGAGCTAAAAAGGATCGGCAGGCAGCATCAGGCTGGCTCAGACTCGCTGCTCACTGGAATGGCTTTCTTCCGCATGAAAGAGGTTAATATTAGCCAAATTAGACTATAGCTGAATAATGGGATTTTAGCTGATCAGTCCTAACCTTTAGTCTGCTCTCCTGTTTTTTTTTTTTCTTTCTTCAGTTGTTTTTTGAAGACAACATTGACGATGCAAAGTACTGTGGGCGGCTCTATGGCCTGGGATCCGGTTCTTCTCAAAGTCAGAATGGAATTTCCAACTCCTCGCAGGAGGAAACCAACAACAAGCACTGACCAAAATCTAGTGGATGACACACTTGTTTTAATCCCACCCAGCAGATATTGTTCTTTCCTGTTCTTTACAAAGATGATTTCAAATTATTCATGCATTCTTAAAGGGACATTGGGAAATGCAAACAAGCTAATCTCAGATTCTGTTCTGCTCTGTAGTCCATCATATTGCAAAGTTCCAGGACTCCAGATGTGATCCTGTTTCTTCCATCAGCTGAAAATTGAACATTTTATCTTGTTTTACAGTATTAAAACACCATTGTTTTAAGAATGGGACCAGCGCTTGTGTATCTTATGGCTTTCAAGACTCCGGGCATTTTAATATACTCAGTCCTTTTAAAAATGTTTTGATATTTTCTAGAAAGGCTCAAGATTTATTCATTACCAAGAAAAGAGGAAATGCCCTCTCACTATTGGTACACATGACTTTGTGGTTGTGTTTTTAAAATATGCTAGCATGTATGTATATTAAAATTGAAACTTTCAAAAGAAACTATCTTTAAGCATTTTTTCTGTAAGGAATACATTTTAGATTCAGGTTTGGGGCATCTTTGGAAACACGAGTCCACTGGTCCTATGTAACAGTTTTAAATGTGTTCGTCTCACAATCTTGACTGTGGTACGTGTTTTTATTGTATCTGTTGTTCGAGGCAGTTATGTATTAAAATGTTTTCTATCGCCACAATGGTCTCATGTCTACTTACAAGGCGTGTGTTCTGAAATCTGACCCTTTGCTCCAGTTTTTAAAATCAACATGAAGTGGAAAATTCTACCCATCTTATGAGTAATTCATCTGTGCATGTTTCTTTTGGGCTTTTTTCAGCTCATGATTTTTCGTGAAACTTTCAGTGAAATGTGATGTATGCTGGACTTCTCAAATCATTTAGTCTAACTAACTCCGCCCCTTTCTTATGAACAACCAAGCTCACATTCAGATCTTCCAATCAACAACTACTTTTTTTCCTCAATCTTTGATTCAAATGTACACCACAGTACGGAGAAAGATCTGTCGCTGCAAAAACAGTACAATTTTTAAATCTTAATATTAAAATAAAGGCATATATAAAACTGGGCTGTGTGTTGATAAAAAGCTAATAAAAAAAAAAGACTAAATATTTTATATTTACCACTTGGTCATGTGATAATTAACCTATAGCGAAGCATGAACATGCAAATGTATTAAATTATTTAAATAATTTAAATCTTGGCACACTTCAAGTAAACATTTTAAGTCAAAGATGTATAGCTGACAAAAAACATTGGATAATCCCTGAATTACAGGATCTATTGCTTCAGTAACAACAGTAAATTGTGAGGGATTGTTTTTATTACATACAATAGTCAAGTGAATTTTACATATCAAATAACAATAATTGCATATCAAAAACACTTTTAAGTGCTATAACTGTTATTGTGTCAGTCTCTTCCAGGCTTTACAGAGCGATTCTGTACTTCCATATTTGCGCAAAAAAGTTGTTGCCTTGGAGCAGATGTGCTGTGGAAATGGAGTAAGATGTTTTCCCATGTGCAGCAGGACGATACAACATTCCATGACATCTGGAAATGAGGATTTCTAAAAGGGGGGGGGGTGATTATAATAATATGCATCTCATGTGCAATTATATATTGATAACAATATATGTGATCCTGGACCACAAAACCAGTCATAAGTCACACGGGTATATTTGTAGCAATTGCCAACAGTACATTGTATGGATCAAAATTATTGCTTTTTCTTTTATGCCAGAAATCATTAGGATATTACGTAGCTAAAGATCATGTTCCATGAAGATGTTTTGTAAATTTCCTACCGTAAATATATCAAAACTTAATTTTTGATCAGTAATAGGCATTGCCAAGAACTTAATTTGAATAACTTTAAAGGCGATTTTCTTGATTTTTTTGCACCCCAGATTCTAGATATTCAAATCGTTGAAACTCAGCCAAATATTGTCCTATCCTAACAAACCATACATCAATGGAAAGCTTATTTATTCAGGTGATGTAGAAATCTCAATTTTTCTCAAAGTTTTGTGGTCCATGGTCACATATAAGAAAAAATGTATTGTTATTGATAACAATAAGTTACTACTATTATTGAGGATGATAATAAGAAACTTACAGCGGCCTTAAAATATTATGCATGTTAAACAGACAGAGCCACTTACTTTGACAAGCTCAGGAATAGCAGTGAGCGCTTTGTGGTGTTCGGCAAGCTGGGCAGTCAGAGTAGAGAGAGATTCACTGCTTAAGAGAGACAAAAAGGAGCTGTTAGACACTTCTTTGAAGCACCAGAATCAAAGCACAAACGATTCAAAGGGTACTACAGCCTTAGAAATACCTTTTCCCACTCAAAGATCCTCCATGTTCCTCTGAAGTTTCAGATTGAGAAGTACTAAGTGCTTGTGAGCTCTCATGAGAGTCTTTACACTGGTTGTGCTGTTGAATGAGGCTAGTGACTCTCCTCTGAATCTCTGCTATGGCTCTCTGGGTGGCCTGAAGATTGGCGTGAGGTTCAGAGAGAAGAACCTTCCAGAAGCCCTCAGAGAAAATGACATCAGTTTGAGCTTCTCCGTTACAGTTTGCTTCAACTTCACTGTGGTTCTTCTCTGTTAAACAGTGACCATTGCTGAAGGTGTTATTGGTCAAAGCTGATGTTTCAGCACTGTAGTTCCACCATTTCTTATACATGAGCTGATAACAGACAAACGCCTCCACACTTTGAGAAATTACCAAGATTCTTTCATCAGTTGGGTCTAGTTTCTGTTTATAGAATGTCACAGACTCCAAACCTGCATTAAAAAAAATATCACGATATCACAATATGAGTAATATTTCACGATAATGATATATATCATGATATATTTATTTTTGCTTGAAGTAAGGTTTTTATATCATCCAAATTTTTGATACCATTGAAATTTCACAATTCCCATAATCCATTTCAATATCACAAAAAACTAATACTAAATGGTCAGTGATTCAAAACTACAATAGAACAAAGACAAATGAAATAGACCTACATTAAAAAAAATCAAGCACTAGAAATAAGAAATACTACTTAAATTGTATGTTATGCTACATACATAGAGTTAGTCTTCACTGTTTAAATGTGCCCATCCATAATTTGAACTGTTCACTTTAAAGTTCATTTGGAGCGATTTCATTTCATCTCATCTCAAAACACATATTGATATCTCTAACCTTGTGTTAGAAGCAGCTGGCACACCTCCGTCATTAGTGTAAAGTGTCCCACCTCAGAACCTCGAGTAAGAGCTCGCAGCAGATCTTCTAGAACAGATGGCCAATCACACAACAGCTGACTCAAAGCACACAGTGTCACGTCCAATGAGATGTGAAATAAGAGCTGAGGAATAAAACATAAATGAAAGATTGGTGAATTTGATGATGACATCAAAGAGATATCTTACTTTTTTCTAAATCGGTGTTGTCTCTCAAAAACATTCTGGTCAAAAATGATCTAGAGACAAGGGTGAACACTATAATATATAACTGAATGGCTGATGTAATGCTAACATAATTATATAATAGTACACAGTAATCTATAGTAAACGGTGTTGGGTTTCACTTTATAGTTTGATGGTCACTTCTGCAAATTCTGTTGACCAAGTAAAACTGCACCTACATGTCTACTAGCTCTTATTAAAGTGTTAGTAGAGTATTGGTGGACTGGTAGGTTTGGGTTAGACTAAGTTTACATGTACTTGTAAAGATACATATAGTCAGCATAATGTCTGTTGGGTGACCATTAAAATAAAGAGTTAGCAGATAGTTAGCAGACAGACAGTCTAGTAATACTCTAATGAAAGTTAGTTGACACAGATGCAACATTACTTACAGTCAACAGAATGTTCTAAGGTTACCATCAAAATGGTGCTATTTAAAACTTGTTTTACACAATATGAACACACAAAAAAATACAAGTAGGATAATGATATATTTATTTTAATTATACAGTAGCTATAAATCATATGGGGTTAGTAAAAAAAATGTTGTATTCAAATATTGTAAAGATGTTGCTCAGCTCATTATTATCAACTTATTAAATAGAATATAATGTTATATAATTAAAATATTTTATTATATATAGATGCTTCTCAGTTTAATATCAACCATTTTTGTCGGTGTAATTTAATAAAAAAATATTATATTATATTATATTATATTATACAGATGTTGCTAAGTTCAATATTATCATGCATTTTTGCCTTTTTATTTAATTCAATAAAATATTTGTAATATTATATTAGATCTGTCAGTCTGCCGTATGAAAAGTGTATCTGTTGGCATCTTATTTTCACACATACTTGCTTCAGAGGAACACTAGTGGTGGCAGGAGGATTATCAGTGGCTCTCAGCTGTTGATGGAGCGTTTTCACTTTGACCAGGTCAGCAGCCGCCACTCCAAACTCACTCTGCCACACTCTGTGCACCGTGGAGAGGAAGTTCTCATCACAGGACTTAGACCAGGTGTGTGAAGAAGCCACACTCCAGGTGACCACATCTGTATCTGCCAGTCTTTGAGTGAGGATCTCATTAACACAAAACACCAGTCTGTGACCCTGTGAAGAGCAGGAGTGAAAGATGTTTCATAATATTTATTTTCTAATATTAAAACGTATTACTGGCAATAGAAACATGTCTAATGTCAAGAGCAAAACCTACTAAAGGAAAACCTGCATAAATAAAAATAATATTCATATCAGTGTCAATTTAGCATACTAATTTATTGAATATACATGCGTATCTAAATCCAGCAGTGAAGATAGCTGAAAACTAACCAAAAGTGAGTCTTGCATCCTCAGGACTTTCTGTGCTGCAGCCCAGTCCTGGAAGAGCATCAAGTCTTTGGCGCACCTCAGAGAGAGAGAATGTGCAAGCTCACTTTCTCCTGATATCTGCGCCAGATTAGCCGCCGTCCTAAGAGATATCACGTCCCCCTTCTTGGCAATCACTTTAGCTGCATCAAAGCTCGAGTCTGCGGCAAGGTAACTGACAGGTGAAGAAAGAAAATACTTTTTTAGTCAGTTTAAATAGTTTTTAATCACATTAATTAATTTTATCTCATACATTCGTGATCGTGGTTGTATCTCTCTATTAGTGCTGCGTTCGACACTATTGACCACGACATTCTTTTGAAAAGACTAGAAAACTTTGTTAGCATTAATGGAAGTGCATTAGCATGGTTCAAATCGTAATCTGACCGCCATCAATTCGTAGCAGTGAATGAAGAGGTATCATATCGATCACAAGTGCAGTATGGAGTACCTCAAGGCTCAGTATTAGGGCCGTTACTCTTCACGGTTTACATGTTACCCTTGGGAGATATCATCAGGAAACATGGTGTTAGCTTTCACTGTTATGCTGATGATACTCAGCTCTA